TATGCTGAGCTACTGTGCACACATATCCTGGAAACTAATTCCACATTTTCTACGGTTTCAAAATTAAAGAAGATGGTCGTATCTCTAAAAAACAATTATATGGTAAAGCTGTAAAAGTAGATCATTGCAGGATCCTGAAGATTGTTTAGTTTTTGGAACATTGCCCTAGATTTCCTCTCTATACCCATCATCCCAAACCAGGGGCGTACCTTGAGCATTTAGCACCTGGGGCGGATCCTATATTTGCAACCCCACCTCCCAGTATAAAAATGTAAAAAAAACTCCGTGGTGTTGTCCAAACTTAGGGATAATTACCTGATGGACAAGATGACAGCACAAGTCCGCAACACTCTGGGTACCTTCAAATGGGTATTGGCGCTATGGGAACAATTTAATGCATAACCCATGATAGGGTTCGGGGGTGGAGAGGGAGAATAATCCCACACCGGGGGCGCTGAACACGAGGCAGACCACCCCCGACTACAGGGGACCCGAATATAGCACCCTCGAACCACACCACACACGAACAGCGAAACTGTCTTGCCAATATCAAAACAACTACCAAAGGATTAACTTGTACTTTAACGCATTTACAACAGATACTGTTTAATTATGTTATACTATACTTTTGTTTAAGTAAGTACATATATGTATCTCTGATGCTTCATGTTGCACGTATTGGCATTTGAATGCAGGCGTGCATTTTTCTGTAATGTGTTTTTTTTACTATGGTGGTGTGTTTTTATGTAGTGTTGACATTTGGATGCAGGGTTGTATTTGTGTGTAGTGTAGGCGAAATTCTGAGATGTATGCACATATTCACACACTGGCCCACGTACCCAGACACATAAGAACACACATGCAGTTACATAGAAACACAGTCATACACAGATACAGACAAACACTGACACACATACAGATACAAACACACATATAGATACAAACACACAGGCAAAGAAACACATACTGATAGAGACACACACATACAGACACACTGATACAAACACAGACACACAAACAGATACACATATACAAACACATACTGATACACAGACATACAGATACACAGACACACATGTATAAGTGTGTGTGTGTGTGTGTGTGTTTGCATAGTGTATGTAGTGTGTTTGTATAGTGAATGCAGTGTGTGTTTGTATAGTGAATGCAGTGTGTTTGTGTAGTGGATGCAGTGTGTGTGCTTGTATAGAGGATAATGGTGTGAGGGAGGGGGTGATGGTGTGAGGGAGGGGTGCTGTTGTGAGGGTGGGGGGAAGTGAGAGGGGGTCATGGTGTGAGGGAAGTAATACTGTGATGGAGGGTGATATTATGAAGGAGGGGTGATGGTGTGAGGGGAGGGGGTGTGGTGAGGGGGAGGGAGGGTGGTGAGGGAGGGTGATGGTGTGAGGGAGATGGGGGGGTGATGGTGTGAGGGAGGGGGATGATGGTGTGAGGGAGGGGGATGATGGTGTGAGGGAGTGATGGTAAAAAATAGATGGTAAACAAGTTAAGTACACCAACAAACAGATGAAAATAAAAAAAGGGGAAATTTAACTGGAAGTCCTAATTACTTACTTTGCTAGATAGTATGGCATTTCTGTCCCATTGAGCTCCAGCAAGGAAAATGGCATTATTTACAAGATTACCACAAAATTAGATTTTTGCAAGAAGTAAGCATTTCACAGGAGGAGATATGGGGCAGAGGGTATACATGATTGTAAGGATTCTAGGTTGAAGATACCTACAATCTTTCCTAGTAAACACAAACATATAAAAGAGTGCAGAAAAAGATTTCTTCTTATGTGGAATTCTTGTACATAATTTGCTCCAAAGACATCTTATAAGACAGGTCTGCAACTTATACCTGACTTTCTTAAGGTGCACTGGTCACAGTTTGCATACCTTTGGAGAATTGGTAATATATGTAACATTTTTAAAGAAAAAAATGAGTGAGCAGGCACTTTTATTTCTTATGGGATTCATATTCAACTGTAGGGTTTAACAGAATGGCACAATCCTAAAACAAAACATGGCAACAAAGAAAAAAATTAAATGACCACTGTTCAAAAGTCTGAATACCCTTAGTTCATAATACTGTGTAGTGCCCCCTTTAGCATAAATGACAGCAAACAGTCTATTGTAATAGTTGTCTATGAAGCCCCTAATTCTTACAGGTGGTATAGATGCCCATTTGTCTTGGCAAAATGCCTCCAGGCCATACAATGTCGTTGCTCATCTTGCATGAATGCACATTTGAAATCTCCCCAGAGTAGCTTGATGATATTAAGGTCAGGAGAGTGTGATGGCCACTCCAGAATCTTCACCTTTTTCTGCTGTAACCACTGAAGGGTCACTGTCATGCTGGAAAGTCCAAGAGCGTCCCGAGCGCAGTCTTCATGCAGAAGAATGCAAATTTTCTGCCGGTATTCTATGATAACATGCTGCATTCATCTTGCCATCAATTTTCACAAGATTCCCGTGCCTTTAGAGCTCACACACCTCCAAAGCATCAGTAAGCCACCAGCATGCTTCACAGTGGGGATGCTATTATTTTCGCAATAGGCCTTGTTGAGCCCTCTCCAAAACATAGCTCTTATGGTTGTGATTTAATGTTGAGCGGACACCTGGATGTTCGGGTCCGGCGGGTTCGGCCGAACTTTGAAAAAAAAAGTCTGGGTTCGGGATCTAACTTGACCCCGAATTTGACCCCGAACCTGATCCCCATTGAAGTCAATAGGGACCCGAACTGTTGGCCACAAAAATGCCTCTAAAAAAGTCCTGGAAAGGACTAGAGGGCTGCAAAAGGAAGTAAAATGGGGGTAAGAGTAGGACAAGTGCCCTGCAAACAAATGTGGATAGGGAAATCACTTAAAATAACATAACAATTAAAAATACAGCTGAGCTATAAAATAGCACTAGATGGAATCTTTGATTTTAGCTTTGGAAGAACATAAATCAAAATCTAAAGCATGGCTGTCCGGAGGATCACCAGAATTATTCATTTGAGAGAGGGCTGGAGTGCAAGGTATTTTTTTCATTGTTCAAACTGAGCTCAACTCCTGATGCAGATGCATGGAGAAATGCTCAACTCCTGATGCATGGAGAAAAGGCCTTCACAAGCCTCTGCTATTGTGTACATAGTTTATACTAAGTGACCCATAGGTTGAGGAGGCGGTGACCGTGGCGGTGTAGGTGGAAGCAGCGGTGGAGGAGGAGGAGGTAGCCAACACTGTTTTTAAAATATATATATTTTTTTTAAATTGGGGAAGCACCCAAAATATTGAGACATATAATAAAAAAAAAACTCTGTTCCGCAGAGCGACTGACCCATGCGTGCTGTAGCTGAAACTCCACTATTGCCTGCTGCTGCTCGCACATTCTCATGAGGCGGTGAGCGGGAAGGCCGAAGTTACGCTGCAACGCAGACAGGTGAGCAGCAGCAGGGTGAGAACGCCAAAAGCGCGCACAGACGGCCCGCACTTTCTGCAGCAGCTCTGATATATCTGGGTAGTTTTTCAGGAATTTCTGCACCACCAAATTCAGCACATGCGCCAAGCAAGGGATGTGCGTATTACCAGCTAGGTCCAGAGCTGCTACGAGATTTCACCCATTATCGCACACCACCAGGCCGGGCTTGAGGCTCAGTGTCAACAACCACTCATCGATCTGTTGTTCCATGCCCGTCCACAGCTCCTGCGCGGTGTGGGGTTTCCCCCCCAAACATATGAGTTTGAAAACAGCCTGCTGTTGTTTCCACCTGGCTGTGCTGAAGTTGGTGGTGTAGGTGTTACGCTGACCGGATGAGGAGGTGATAGAGGAAGAGGAGGAAGAAGCTGAGTAGGAGGAGGAGGCAACAGGAGGCAAAGCTGTGTACCCAAATAAAGATTGTCAAACGTTGTATCCTGGAACTGTGTCCCATCCGGTTACTGGGGAAATGGGTCTGACCTATTCTAATCAAAGGGGATAACCATCGGTTACCCTGGTCCCGCTTCAATTGGTGGCAAGCGGCGGGATCCCATGTCCCTGCCAACAGACCCATGGACTACAGTGCTTTAAAGCGACCTACACTGCAGGACTTGTGTGGAGCTAGAGGAATAACGCTTGGTAGGCGTAACAAGGCCGAATTGACTGCTGCGCTCATGAAGGATGACCAGGCACGCAGTGAGGCAACGAACCCCAGCCAGGGGCCGGAGATGAGGAGGAAATGCGCAAGGAGGTGTAACAGCGCCTGGCATATTACCGAGAGCCACCCTCAGAGGAGATTGTCAGCAGAACCTTTTTGTAGGTGCAAGCCTATGTCCTTGCCAATAGACAGAGGGTGACCTCCATGAACCCAGATGAAGGAAGAAGGGAGCAGAGGGCGCCGGGAAGCACAACCACCCTGGCCCACAAGCTACCATACAATGCCATCAAAGAGTTCAAGGAAGCAAAAGAAGGCATCAATGACTTTTTACAAGACTTTGAGTGCCAGTGCCTACTCCAAGACGTGGACCCCAGTGACTGGGTCTCCATCCTGGCTAGCAAACTAGTGGGGAAGGCAGCGGATATTTACCGGGCTGCACCAAAAGAGCAGATCAGAGACTATGCCTTTATTACCCAAATCCTCCTGGCCTGGTATGCGGTCACCCCCTAGCAATACCGCCGAAAGTTTAGGGAGACCCAGAAAGGGGAGAAGGACTCCCATGCAGAGTGGGCATGCCGCATCACAAGGGCCACCCAGAACTGGCTCAACTCCCATGAAGCCAAGTTCCCGGAGGTGATCACCCAGCTCGTCATGCTAGAGCACTTTTTCAATGGGCTCCCCAACGACAAGGCGATGAGGCATTCGTATGTCATCCATATCAACTTTCGATGCCACTTTCTGCGCCTACCATGGTGACCACGGGTAAGGGGGAATCAGGGTTCGATTCCGGAGAGGGAGCCTGAGAAACGGCTACCACATGCAAGGAAGGCAGCAGGCGCGCAAATTACCCACTCCCGACACGGGAAGGTAGTGACGACAAATAACAATACAGGACTCTTTAGAGGCCCTGTAATTGTAATGAGTCCACTTGAAATCCTTTAACTCTGATCAATTGGAGGGCAAGTCTGGTGCAGAGCGACTGACCCGTGCGTGCTGCAGCTGAAACTCCAGTATCGCCTTCTACTGCTCGCACAGTCTCTCCAGCATGTGCAAGGTGGAGTTCCACCTTGTGGGCACATCGCATATGAAGCGGTGAGCAGGAAGGCCAAAGTTATGCTGAAGCACAGACAGGCGAGCAGCAGCAGGGTGAGAACGCCGAAAGCCTGCACATCCGCTACAGTGAATGCCACATCCTGTTCCAAGTTGCGGATCAGTCTGGTGATGGCTTCTGGTATCCAGTACTATTTTTACTGAAGCTGCATCAGGGTCCTGGTATGTGGCCGGACAAACGCTGGTGCTCAACACCAAGGGACGTGCGGTTACCCTGCACCAGACCCTGTTAATCCATTCCACACTGTGACTCCTAACTTCAACATCAGGCATACTGGGTCCCGGTCGTCCGACCGCCGCCCAGACAGTTTCTGGGTCCCGGTCACCGGACTGCGAAACTGCGAATGGCTCGTTAACTCTGTTATGGTTCCTTTTATCGCTCCATCTGTTACTTGGATAACTGTGGGAATTCTAAAGATAATACATGCCGACGAGCGCTAGGGGACGGCCGCTCTGCTTTTGCCCCCTGCTCCCTCTTATGCTGTGCTGGTGCCTCTGTGCGACCAGCGCCTCTTCCTCCAAACTGCACACGTCACTCGCATGACCTTCATTCCATGTGGGGTCTAGGACCTCATTATCCTCCACATCATCTTCCACCCACTCCTCAACCCTGCTCCCCTTGCCGGTCTGCACACTGCAGAAAGCCACAGCAGTTGGCACCTGTGTTTTTCCAGCATGTAAAGTCTGCAAAGGACCTATGAAATTGTTTTAGAATTGTATCCAGGCAACAGTTTTCCCTATAAACTGACCTCTCAGTTTGACATGTGAGGGTATTTCCCCCGAATTACAATATTGTTATATTGGTATTTGACGGTTCTATTTGATTGTCAGATATGAAGTGCAGGCCGCAAATATACTATTTAGCACCCAAAAAAAATTGAATTGGTTAAACTGCGCTGTAACCACAGTATTTGACGGTTCTATTTGACTGTCATTTATTAAGTGCACACGCCAAATTTACTTTTTATCACCCAAAACAATTTGAATTTTTCAAAGTGTGCTGAAAGCACAGTATTTGATGGTTCTATTTGACCCTCAGATATGAAGTGCACCGCAGGCCTCAAATGTACTATTTAGCAGCCAAAAAATTTAAATGTTTAAAACTGCTATGTCACAGCACTATTTGACGGTTCTATTTGACTCTCAGATATGAAGAGCACGCCCCAAATGTACTTCTTAGGAGCAAAAAAATGGGAATTTGTCAAAGTGCGCTGTAAACACCGTATTTGACGCTTCTATTTGACTCTCAGATATGAAGAGCACGCCCCAAATTTACTATTTAGCAGATTAGCACCCCGAAAATAAGAATGTTTACAATTGCGCTGTAACCGCAATATTTGACGCTTCTATTTGACGCTCAGATATGAAGCGCACCCCCCAAATTTACTATTTAGCAGATTAGCACTCAGAAAATAAGAATGTTTACAATTGCGCTGTAACCTCAGTATTTGACGCTTCTGTTTGACTCTCAGATATGAAGAGCATGCCCCACATTTACTATTTAGCAGATTAGCACCCAGAAAATAAGAATGTTTACAATTGCGCTGTAACCGCAATATTTGACGCTTCTATTTGACTCTCAGATATGAAGAGCATCCCCCAAATTTACTATTTAGCAGATTAGCACACAGAAAATAAGAATGTTTACAATTGCGCTGTAACCTCAGTATTTGACGCTTCTATTTGACTCTCAGAAATGAAGAGTATGCCCCAAATGTACTATTTAGCAGATTAGCACCCAGAAAATAAGAATGTTTACAATTGCGCTGTAACCGCAATATTTGACGCTTCTATTTGACTCAACTCTAGTTGTGATCATAGAACTCTATTTTGGTCTCATTACTCCAAATTACAGTGTGTTAGAAGCTGTGAGGCATGTTGTTGGGCATATTGTAATTTTGGCATTGGCGCAGTAAAGGCTTCTTTCTGGCAACTCGACCATGCAGCTAATTTTTGCTCAAGTATCGTCGTATTGTGTTCCTTGAAAAAACCACACCGTCTTTTTCAAGAGCAGTCTGTATTTCTCATGAGGTTACCTGTGGGTTTTCTTTGTATCCCGAACAATTCTTCTGCCAGTACTGGCTGAAATCTTTCTTGGTCTACCTAACCATGGCTTGGTATCAAGAGATTCCTGAATTTTCAACTTCTTAATAAGTTATTAAACAGTACTGACTGGCATTTTCAAGGCTTTAGATATCTTTTTTTTTACCCTTTTCCAGCTTTATAAAGTTTCATTACCTTGTTACGCAGGTCTTTTGGCAATTATTTTCTGCTCTTCATGGCTCAGTACCTAGCCTGCTAAGTGCATCCACACACACACTCTAAGAATTACCCCCTGAGCGGTGGGTGGGGCCCCTAAATACTAATAAGGGGGGGCTAATGTCCTCACCCACCCCCGCCCCTGAGCGGTGGGTGGGGTCCCTAAATACTAATAGTGGGGACCTAATGTCCTCCCCCTGGCCCCCACCCCTGAGCGGCAGGTGGGAGCCCTAAATACCATGGGGTGGGGGCCAGGGGGGAGGACATTAGGTCCCCCCCTTATTCCAATTTAGGGCCCCCACCCACTGCTCAGGGGTGGGGGCCAGGGGGGAGGACATTAGGCCCCCCTTATTCCAATTTAGGGCCCCCACCCACCGATCAGGGTTGGCGGCCAGAGGGGAGGACATTAGATCCCCTCCTGATAAGTATTTAGGGCCCCCAACCACCGCTCAGGTGTGGGGGCCGGTGGGGAGGGCAATAGGTTCCTCCCATCATATTACTTTAGGGCCCCCACCCACCGCTCAGGGGTGGGGATCAGGGGGGAGGACATTAGATCCCCTCCTTATTAGTATTTAGGGCCCCCACCCACTGCTCAGGGGTGGGGGCCAGGGGGGAGGACATTAGGTCCCCGCCTTATTAGTATTTAAGGCCCCCACCCCCCGCTCAGGGGTGGGAGTCGGGGGGGCAATAGGTCCCCCTTTAGTTTAAAAGCCCCCACTCGTGCTTCGCGGGTGGGGGCTCGGGAGGGGGAACCCTATTTTTTATTTATTTTTTAACAGTGAGCAGCCACAGGCTGCTCACTGTTTAATAGACATGCCCCTACTCGCGGTATAGCGGTTGTTGGAAGGAACCTCATTTTGCAACTATTTTCTTGTGATCTGACAAGTGGCACATTCCTCTATCAGTGACAGCCAAGTTAATCCTCCTAATGCTGTAATCAGCCATAACCCCAGGTGTTGAAGTAATTTGGTCTCAGGCAATATTTATCTTTGGAGTTAAGACATTATATACCTGGGAGGTGGAGCCTGAATGCAGAGGAAGCCAGACAAAAGCTCCTGCTTCTGGCTCCAAAAATCGTGCCACTCATTAACACAGACCACAATCAGCACTCACCTTGTCAGGGGGACATTGGTGCACTGGAAGATAATTCTTGTGAGCTTAACTGTATCCAGAACATCTCGATTGTAGCTTGCGGCCTACACAAGCTTGAGCTAAGGAGAGGCGGTCACTCTTCTGATTTTCGGTCCCAGTATCCCGCTTCTTTGGACCGGTGGGGTTATTTTGGTCTCCACTGGCTTACTCCACATACCTCTGTTGATCCTACATGGCTGCCACTACACGAATCTCGATCACTGCTGATTCCCCTAAGATGGCGGGCACTCTTTAACTTTATGTGCCTAGGCTGACACAGTCCTTAAAGCTGAGCAAATGCCGGAGCGCTTGAATGCAATATTTGCAAGCTAATGGGAGAAACTAGAGGCTTGTACTGTGGTAGCACCGACTAAGAATCCAGGATAGGAGTGAAGAGAGATGGGGGTTAAGTGGGCTGCCCCGGGCGCTGCTCCCCCACAAGCTTCTTTGTTTCAAAACTTTGGTCTGCCTGGGCTGTCCTTTATAACACCAAGGTGTTGGAGAGGGGGGAGGGGTGGGAGGGGGGGGGCACAGGGGATCATGGCTATCTCCATATACTCCCAAGCATGAGCATTGGTTAACACTGGGCATGCCGGACTCTGCTACTCGCCCACTATAGTTAGATGTATAATAGCTTGTTCAACTTCTGAGACCCCTTCATGCTAGTCAGCATCTCGTTGCATCTAACTACCATTCCTAACTTCTGTTCACATTGATCTAATTATTTGTAATACTTTAAATTAAGTAAATAATTTTGCTTGGTGCAGCACAGTACTGTGATAGAGAGTTCCGTACCAGTGGTTCTACTATCTTGAATATCCAGCTTGTCATGCAACATTTTCTATATGCCAGTCACTCTACTATTTCTTAATATTGTCTGTGGTTCAAGCATATACCAGATTATTATTCACCCTGTCTCATATTTTTCTCAAGATGGAATGTCATGGTTGTTTTATGTACCTAGACAAGTTTGCCTAGCTTGTTTCATTCCTGTTATTATTTTAAAAATAAGGCTGATTTATTCAGTAGTTTCTTTCTTTGTGTATACCCATTGCATATATTATCTGTGCTTATTTGCTATAATTCCTTTTTCTTTTTTTCTGTACCTTTAATTTTCATGCTTCATTAAAAAAAAAAAATAATCGACAAAAAAAACATTATACCCCTGGCTGTGATTACAAACAAAGCATGTGACCCTTTCTCTTTTCCAAAACGTAACCACACTTTGCAGGTGTTTCCTGTCCCACCTGCTAAGAAGAGCAAGACCAAGTAATACATGTAATACAACAATTACAAACAGTGTGAGAATTAAGGCAATCCATGTAATATTATTTGAAAGACACAGTTAAAAATGATCAACTAGCTTTGGCATCAAATTTTTTCGAATTTCAACTTGAGTTAATATCATCCAAATTTTGACCAGCCAAACTGAGTAAATGGATGGACTTGTCAAAATGTAAACCAGAATTTATCAGACATGCACAAAATGGTCCAGACGCAGTTGAGATATA